GGCACAGACCTGATAGTACAAACGTAATCTTCAAGACACCATGTCACTTTTTGCGATGTCAGCATAACTAATTGGATTCCATAGTTTAATGATCTTCCTATTGCTTCATGAAACAGGGATGATCTATTATATTTATATAAAAGGTTTATCTGTAAGAGAGACAGGATAGAACATTCACTTAAACTGTTTACGACAGGGCGAGAAAAGAAATATTTCGATTGTAATCCAGGTGGCCATCTGTTTACCTTCCAATTTGTATCTCCCACCTCTGCCTGGAGAACATGCAGCAGGTAGTGCTGGCTTTGAACAGAAACTGTTTATCTTGTCTTAATACACTCCTCCCCCAGCCACTCCCCCCTCCCACCCTCTCACATTTTTTATTTCATTAAAAGTATCTTCTTGCCATGCTGTTAATAGACATATCCAGTTTTTTCTTTTCATCTGGCTTCGACTTTTTTCTTTTCAAGTGATTCTGTGTTTCCCTAACACAGTGGTTGGCCCTACCCCCAGGGGCATGGGAAAAGTTTGAAGGGGGTAGCGCTGCACCTCATCGACTACGCTGATGAAAGAAAAAAAATGTTTTGATGCTTTGTAAAAAGATTAAAATAAAATAGCAAGAAGTTGTAAAGCCAATTGAAAAATTATTTTTTTTATTATATTTTTACAAATTCTAAACCATTTAAACAATACATTCTACAAAGACCAGACAATGGATAGGGATATTCTAAATTCCGCCGACATGCCCATTTTTTTTGTAAACATTTAAAAGAAGAAAAAAAAAGTGCCGATTTTTTTTTTTACACTAGTTGGAATATACTACAGAAAAGCAAAAAAAAAAAAAAAATATATATATTAAAAAATCCACTAATTGAATACTTAAAAGTTGTACTATTTGGGGTTAAATGTAACAATATTTATTATAGAACTTTTCTTTATATGAGCAATTTTATTTTTGGTTCTTATTCATTAGAGCCCCCTGTGTATTTCACGGCTGTTTTTTTACTTACGTTTACACTTCAGTTTAGTGCGAATGGTCGTTTGTGTGTCTGTGTACATGTTCTCTAGTATCTTTAGTTGCTGTGTGTCTGTGTACATGTTCTCTAGTATCTTTAATGGATGTGTGTCTGTGTACATGTTCTCTAGTATCTTTAATTGATGTGTGTCTGTGTACATGTTCTCTAGTATCTTTAGTTGCTGTGTGTCTGTGTACATGTTCTCTAGTATCTTTAATTGATGTGTGTCTGTGTACATGTTCTCTAGTATCTTTAATTGATGTGTGTCTGTGTACATGTTCTCTAGTATCTTTAGTTGATGTGTGTCTGTGTACATGTTCTCTAGTATCTTTAATCGATGTGTGTCTGTGTACATGTTCTCTAGTATCTTTAATTGATGTGTGTCTGTGTACATGTTCTCTAGTATCTTTAGTTGATGTGTGTCTGTGTACATGTTCTCTAGTATCTTTAATCGATGTGTGTCAGTGTACATGTTCTCTAGTATCTTTAATTGATGTGTGTCAGTGTACATGTTCTCTAGTATCTTTAATTGCTAGAGAAAAAAAAATTCAAACTAAGATAACGGCTAAATCTAGTCGGCAAGAATTTTTCTGAATTAATGTTCTTACATAATCTACCGGATGTCGTTTGTTTATCTCTATTTTGAACTTGACCTTGACCTATAAACCTGTTTTAAGCTCAGTAACTTCATTCCAAATTGCAAAATACGTTAATTATCAGTGTGTACATATTTGGCCCAAGTACGCCAGTCATATCAAACTAATTAACATTTTTGTTTTATTCTGTTTAGCTATTTCCTTCTTCAATCATGTCAACCTGATCTATGGTGTGGTCTCAGAGTACTGTACAGTGGACACCTGTCCTGCCATGACTGCCCCTGATAATGTGTAAGTAGTGGGCGTGCTGTTTATCCAAGTCACAATAGGGGTCACATTACCCTAGTCTCTTTTTTTTTTTCTCTTGGACATTACTTGTGCTTTACAAGTACAAGAACCTGAAAAATAGAAGTATATGCCCAACATTTAAGAGGGGGTGGGGGGCACTGTGTGATAAGTTTTTTTTTTTTTTTAGGGTTAGGATTAACATTATAAGTAAATAGATGGTTATGATTGAGCCCAACCTATACAATTTCAATGGAAGTTAGTTTAATGGAAATTTATTTTTTTTACATTATCATAATGGAATAGTCTATATGTTACTACATCTTTTTATTCCTAATGATTTATTGATGTTGTACAATACAGATTTCTAAACCCTATTTTTTGGTCAACTTTAAATGTTTAACCCATTTCTTTTTATTTGGTTGGCCACTTTCACTCATTTAATATAAATAAATGTATAGCTTTCATTATGTATATTTATTTTTTTTTCATACTGATTTTATGATTCTAAGTTTAATATCTTTTGGAACAGTGTCTGTGATTGTGTCTGACCTGCTTCTGATAAATCCAGTTAACTATTAGGGGAAAAAGGGGGGGGGGGGGACTAATTTCATCATTGGCATAACTTTGGGTTTAGTTGTGACCAATCAGTGAGCCTAGCAGTGTGGTGTGCTGCCAATTTAGTTGGATCACTGGAAACACTCTCATTGGATTCAAACTTGAAAAGGTAGGGGGAGGGGGTAACTCATTATCAGAATTGTATTTTTTTTTTTTTTCAAGGAGACCAATAATGCTTTTGAGAAGGGCAGAGGAAAAAAACATTAACTTTTCAAAAACACCAGAAGGAATGAATCACAAAAGAATTTGCTCAAAGGTCCCCCCCCCCCCCCACTCCAAAAAAAAAAGTTTGACAGCAGAAGCTCCCTTTCTTTCTCACAAAATACTTTATAAATTTGTTAAATCTAATGCACTCTTAATGTTACAATTCTAATGGTCCAAAATGTTCCATGCTTAATAAATAGAGGAAGAGTGAGGGGTGGCGGGGGGAATGGGGTCAGTCTAATGTCCCCTTGGGTTATAATGAAAACAAAAATTGAAGCTAAAAGCTCAGGTGGAACACTTTGATCTGCTGTGAATGGATGATTTACCCTATGGGCAAGGTTGGGCTGTTTCTGATTATGGATGAAAAACAACATCAAATCACTAATAATGTTAAAAGCACAAGCTAATGAAGCCATTATCAAATTTTAATTCTTTGTCTTTTAGTTACCAGCAAGCCATCAATTCTCATTGCATCCAGTTTCATTATTATTAATGATCCATATACTAAATTATTCTTTTTAAATAATGGAAATTTGTTACCACAGTAACCATTTCCTCATTAAATTAGATTAGTAGTTTTGCTCCTCAATGTTTGTTTTCTTGAGACTAAATCTGACTTTTAGTTGTTGTTTGTTCTCTTGAGACTAAATCTGACTTTTTGTTCCAGCCAATACTTCTGGTATGATGAGAAAGGCAAGAAGAGCAAGAACACAGCCCCCCAGTACATTGACTATGTTATGACTCATATACAGAAACTTATCAATGATGAGAATGTGTTCCCAACCAAATTTGGTAAGCGCAGGGACATGAATATGTTTTTACAAATATTTTAACACACAATCAGTATTTTTCATTTAGAAATTCTGAATATCAGTATTTACTTGACAAATTACTTTTTAGGTAATGTTCTTAGTTTCTAATTATTTCTAAGAAATTTATTTAAAAATCAATATATTGTTTCGAATTATATGCATACATTATTATGTACCAGTATATAAATTGTTTAATATATTGTGTTCATTTTTCTGTTCTTTTTATTAACATGATACATTATTTGCTGATTGAAAACATCTTTTCAATCATTAACTTACAATCAAATGATTGTTTTAAGAAAACTTTTCTTTTAGTTCATCAAATTTTTTTTTCTTTTCTTTCAGGGCATCCGTTCCCGCCAGATCTAGTCGATGTAGTGAAGCGTATACACAAGTACCTGTTTCATGTGCTGGCCCATATATACCATGCCCACTACAAGCTTCTGCGCCAGCTTGGCCTGCATGGCCACCTGAACAGTCTTTTTACTCATTTCATGGTTTTTGCTTCCAAGTTTGACCTCGTCCAGGACAAGGAGTCGGACATCCTGCTTCAGCTTTTCTCACTTCTCTTGAAAAACCTGGCCGACCCCAACCAGAACCCCAAAGTGCGGGAAGGCCTCGGCATTGGGGAAGGGATGATCGGGCCTCCATACGATAGTAAAAGTAAAAAGACGGACGGAAGCGTCAGCCCTGTCGATGAGGGCAAATCATCTCAGCATAGCCAAAGACTTAGTAACGGCGGCAGCAATCTCAGACACACTCATTGTGATACAGATATTAGTGCAGACCAGAAGGATTCCAAGACAGAGCAAGGGGACTCAAAGAAAAGCTCTCCAACCACTTCTCAGCCACAGCAATCCCCTCACAAAGGGGTTGGGGAAGGCATGGACGGTGGGGCCTCAGAGCTCCCTTCGGAATGGCTGTCCAACCTCCAAGTCTCTGCCACTTGATGATGACTTGGTCATGGTCACTGCAAGGAGGCGGGACAGCTGTAGCTCTGGTTTCACTCCCAGAAGAGACCATATTGTCTCAGGTGCCCAAACTTACTCAGATCTTTCAACCTTAACTTTGTTCAATATTTGCAACATTTCCTCAACCACTCAATAGAGTTGGTTCATTGCCAATCTGCTATTATGAATTCTACAAAAACAAAACTCCATATCTATTTCGTTTGATTTTGAAACAGAAATCCATTTTTTTTTCTTTGTAACTATCCAGTGTGTGGCAGGCAAGGGAAGTCATTCAAGACATATAAACAATGTTGACAATGTATAGTGTTTTAGTTGCTTTTCTTGGATATCACTTGAGTAGCTTGGCATGGAATGTATTAGTAAAAGAGTAATTTTGGAATTTGATGTTGGCTTTTTGAAACTATCTGAAACTGGGCTCAGATTCAAGCTTTGATTTCACTCACTTAATACTTAGTAGTGTTTTTATTATATATCTGATTGCTATGATATGAAAGTTAATAAGCTAGATTCTTAATAAGCATTTTTTTTAAGGCTTAGAAAGAAAACTTGCTTGGCAAATGAAAAGATGAGAATCCATTTCTAGTGACACAGTGACAGTAGCTGAGATCAGTTCATTTTCTAGAACAAAAACAATTTCAACAATATACCTTTAAGTTTGGCTTTGGCATTTTTTCTGTATACAAAATAAGTCTAGATATGTACACTGCTTTTGAACAAGTGATATTTTTGTGCCATGTTATCTTGTACATCTAGGTTTGTTAGTGGATTTTTGTATGTGTACAAGTCTTTTATTTTGTTTGTTTCAGCCTATCATGTTTGTATTCCAAACTCCTGCAGTTAATTTTTGGTCATTTTCTAATATAAACTTTTAGCTTATCTCGCACTGTAGTGGAAGAATGTATTTTTTTTAATGACTATTTATGGCTAAACTATGTGCAATATTAATCCAAGTTTCTCAGGCATTAAAGACATTGTCCTTAGATGATTGATCAACACTTGGATGTATACTCCACAAGTCTACACATCAATTCTGATCTGTTCTACATATCTATTCTGGTGTGTGCTACATATCAATTCTGGTGTGTGCTGCACATCAATTCTGGTGTGTACTGCACAATTCAGGTGTGTGCTACACATTAATTTAGTTGTGTGACTTGTATCTCATTTTCTCATTGAGCTAGAATGAGAGTGCCACTAAGGACATTGTCAATAACTGACACAGCAAAACCTTCTTGCATTTTCATTTGATTTTTTTTCCCTGGTCATTTCTTATTTAGTGTTTGCTTATTAATCTTAAATGTTTTCATTTTATTTCCCATCATTGAGAAATTGTATGGTACTCTTAATGAAGCATAATTGCTATCCTGATCAAGGCTGTAGTTAGTATGAAGCTTTCGGGCTGACTAACTTTGTAATAATAGCCTACCAAGTAATGTAGCTGTATGACCAAACATTCCCTTGACATCTCTGCAGATGATCTTCAAAAAAAAACAATGTTTCCAATATTTATATCCTTATTTACCTACTTTCCCCCTCCCCCACATCACAGATGCCTTGTCAATGTAATTTTCAACTGTGACAAACCAAAATCTGAGAACTGAGCCAAAAGACTCGTAAATTTTAAAATCAAGTTATTTTTTTTCATCAGTCTGACGTTGAATGCATTAAAGAACACATGGTAAATAAATTTTAGGCTTGGGAATGTACATTTTAATATTCAATGAGGTTGATAAAACTGATGTTTATAGAACAATGTGCTTATAAATATATACATTCTTTAGCATTTCAAAATATCTTGATGTAGCCAACACTGTATGTGCCTATTAGGGCAACTGTAGTGCCCAAGGCAGATATTCGTGTCTAGTAGTCAAATTAAATAGAAAGAATATCCTTTCAACTTAATATGCAACCTGCATAATGAGTTACCTCCCTTCTCATGGTCAATTGTTTATAAAACTTTGTTAAATCATGCCATTCAAAATTCTTTTTTTTTTACAAAATGAAACCTATCTAAAATATTTCTTCTCAGACTGTACTATTATATTAAAATTTGTAATAAACATTAAAAAATAGTTTAGTTATCCTAAATTTGTATAACCCTATCATATCTTTGATTTCATCTGTTAATTAAGTTACATTCTTTGAGATTAGTGTGTTCACCAGTAATAGCTTTAAAACAATGATTAGTGTTGTGCCTTTTGCCAGGGGGAAATAATAATGTCAGTAATATCAGAGAGTTGTCTAGACTTGACTTGTTGAAGGATTGCATTGCTTGCTTTGCTTTCCATGCTATTGTGTTAGTCAGTCTTTCATGCTCTAAGAATGTGTCTTAGGGAGAATGGACTTCTTGTACATGTACTCCCACCAGGGTTGTCAAGTGCTCAGTAAATGTAGAGTTGGTTTTCCCAAAGCAGTCAGATTGACTTATAAATTGGCCATAGGGTCTAGGAAAATTACAAAGTGTTGCTAATTTCAAGGAGAATTTAGCAGCAACTGTAAGAAAAAAAACTTTTTCTTAACATTTAAAAAAAGAAATTACTTTCTTTTACATGTTTTGGGTGTTTCTTTTGAATCAAAGATTATCAAATACTAGCCCAAGCCGGAGGTCAGCTGGGGGATGGCGGAGGTCAGCTGGGGGATGGCGGTGTTCAGGTTTTGAATCCAAGTCCAGAGGCATACCGCATAACCAGAGCATCCTTTATGTAGCTCCATTAAATAAACATAATGTAGGCTAAATGGTCTTTAAGAACATTTGACTTAAAAGCTATGAAAAGGGAAATAACTCTACAAAATATTTTGAAAAGGTAGTTTTCAAGGGCAGCAGAATTTTTAATATTCAGTAATAAATGACTAAACCAGTGAAGTAATGTCCTCTGTTACTTGCTACTGCTGGTTGATGCATAATTAGACAAATATTTCCTGTTAAAACCTTTGATGATATTTGAGAGAAGAGTGTGGAGATAGGTCCCCTCTGTGTCCCTGTTTCTTCAAGGAATCTTCCTTGAGTATGAACAAAGGTATGGGTCTAACACTCATTGTGTTATAGTGTGTAGCATGGAATGAATCATGTTGGTGTGTAGCGTGGAATGAATCCTGATGTGAGGAGAAATGTTACCATTATGCAGCACTGCCTCAAGGCACACAATTTATGAACACAAATATATTTACATAGTCTGTCAAGCTGCCCATTCCTTTGCAAAGTGAAAAACTCTTGCGTCTTTCATCACTATTTGTACACTGAACTCTGTCTTTGTTGTAGTGTGTTTCTCTTTTCTTATTGATTAGTGGGTTGCTTAGGCTGCTCCTTGTAAGAACACTTTAAGCCATGCATAATTTCTTTCCTCACCAAGCTGTATGACATGGGGAGAGAACTGCGCCACACATTTGTATTCAAAATGAGTCATTGCCCCTTTAGTTATCTCATAGGTTTTCATCTTAAAACCAATCTTGATTATAATGTGTGTAGATTTTGCAGTGTATTAGCTCAGATAATAGATTTATTTGTTCTGACAGCTTGTTCTGGTAATATGAAAGAACTAATGACAGGAATGGTGAGTTTGATGAGACAATGTTTCATTTCTGTGAAAGTGTTTTTTGTTGTTTTTTTTTGTTTCGATCTTATACAAATTTAATTGAATTTTTGTTCTCAGGCTAATGAAATCCTAAATTTTGATAATGAAATGAAGACAATGTCTGAAAAATATTTGTTTCACAGCAGCACCAGTAGAAACATGACTAGCTATTGTTTTTATTATAATTATTATTATTTAATTGTTGCTAACACATTTAATTAGTGTTTCTCATATCTTTGAGCTATAAATGTTCATTGGTGGATAGCTCCCACCCCCCATTTTTTGTTATCCTTTTTTTTAAAAATTTTTAGCGCTGTCATAGTTTTACCTTCAAATGACACACATCACATTAAGTTTGCAAAGACAAGTAGCTAAGAAGGGCCAGCAAGTCTTACCAAGTCTCCTGCTCTCACCTCTCCCCCCCCCCCCCCACCCACACACACACCTCCCCCCCCCCACACACACACCTCCAAGGTTTGACTAAAGCATCTCTGGGTTGTCATCTTCATTGAGAAATAAAAGACTTGATTTTTAATCCAATTATGAACAAGCCCAGCTCTGGGGTGATGCAGCTTCAGTTGTCTTAAGAATTTCACTGGCTTTATTCACCAGAGATTGTCAAGTCAGTTTATGTATCTCCCCCCCCCCCCCCCCCCCCCCATTTCCCCTTATGTTATCATTTCTTGGCAGTGAGGAACAGTGGGCTATTGAAAAAATATCTTACAAGTCAGTGTACACTGACTTCCTGTTTCAGATAGAGGAAGTTATGTCATTAATGTCTCATTTCTAGAGGGTTGGTTTTTTTTTTTTTTGGCCTTTGTTTAGAAAAAAAAATGTCCACAATATATGGCAAGCTTTCACTTGTAGAGTGAAATATATGTTTGCCTGTTATCTGGTTCAATATTTTAACTTTTTATTTTGAAAATATTATCAAATAACTGCCACTACATCTGGATAATAGTGGTAAATGTTTTGTTTAGAAAATGATCAGCTCTTATAACTGTAAAACAACACAGTTAGCTGTTTATTACAATTATTTACAACACTGTAGCTGCCTCAATTGCTTGAGTATATCAAGAAATATGTTTAACATTATTTGCTTAGTTAATGTGCTAAAATAACAGGAATTCCTAATTTATTGAATTGATTTGAATGAATGAGTTCTTTCTCATTGCATATGCGACTTCAATAGATTTACTCTCTACAGTTGTAGATATTTGAATTGTTACAAAAGGGGTCATTAGTTCCCTGAATACATTGCTGGAGATGTAATAACAATGAATTGAAAATGAATTATTCCAAATTTTGATATGGAAACATTTACTTGTAGAAATGTGCATTTTTTTCGTTTCAATTAATGGTTTGATTTACTATGTTGACATGACCTTTATATTCTTTACTTTTTGTTTGCTTCTTGGTGCTTACTTTATTGACTTGGTTTTATTTGTGTCTAAAGTTATGTGAGGTTGTTTCCCTTTTCAAAAAAAAAAAAGTTACAAGTTTATTTAACTTTTTAAAAAAATGTTAACCTAGTCAGTTGTTTACCACTAAAAACTAAAAAAACAATGACATAAAAAAACAAATTCATTCAATAGCCACAGCGTACATTGGTGAGTCTGTGTAGATTAGATTTTCTGTAAAAAAAAACCCATTGTGGATGGTGTTACATTTTTGATGAATTGATTGTGTGCACAATAAAACAAACTGTTTTGTGTTAAGCCATTGTCCTGTGAGAGGCTGGCCCAGACTGACTTGTTTAATACTTTACTTGGTGAAATAAAAGTCTATAGACATTGAATGGACTTAGTTTTGAATTCTATCTAGATGTTTGTTGTACACTAGTGACAAGTGTTGCAAGAGGATAGAATGTACATGCGTAAATTAAATTAAGTCAATAAATGAGTAGGTTAATGAATCTCACTAGCTGCTAATAAAATTATCTATTATATACAACATTTGCCAAGCTAACCCTGTCATGCTGCATTCTGGGGATTTCCTGACACCATGTTGACTGTTTTCTTAGTGCCCTGTTGATTGAGATCAACTATCATGGTAAACTGTTGACCCTTATTATCTAGATCTAGTTTTCCTCTCTTCAAGTCAAAATTAAAAAAATGATTTTTCAACTATGTTAAGTTTAAAAGAATTTTTTTTAAATTTAAGTGCACCTGGATATTAAAAAATTAATAAAAATTCAAATATTAAATAAATGTTGAAATACTTCCAGACTTCATATCAGACTTGTGATGAAAGAAAACTTAAAAAGGTTTTAAGCTATCACAAATTATTGTATCATCAGATCACTCACCTACTCACCATCTCTTTCATAAACAGTAAGTCAAAGAATCTATTCTTAGAGAACTACAAAGACATTTAAAGAAGGATTGGCACCTCCAACTACTGGTCAAATCTCATTTCTGAGAGCTATGGAACATGTCATAGAAATGAGATGGATGCTTAGGTATGGGTAGAACCATGTCACCTACACAGAAGTTCTGCCCTCTCCCAAATGCAGCTTATCTATTCAAAGGAACGGCAGATTGTGGCCTGAAAAGGAAGTTGAAGTTACTCCTCTGAAATCTTAGGAATCTTTTCCAGGAGCAGCTTTTCGACTCTTAAATTAAAACTTTGCTGCTAAACTTTTTACATGGTCCACATACATCTTCGAACAAGTATTTTTTTTCAAATAAATAAGTGTAAGAACAGGTCAATGCTGACTGACTGTAAAATTAGTGTACCGGTAGTAGTAAACTTTTCTAGTAACTTTTAATTTTGGAGTGCAAAAATTAAATTTACTTGCTGTGGCGTAGCTAGGGATTTGGAGGCCTGGGGAGCTTCACCTCTTTAGAGGCCCCCCCCCCCCCCCCTGCATTTTGACATCATGACATGATATAATGGAGTAATATTTAATTTAAAAACAAATTTTGAATACCCATTTGGTATCTGGGGGATTCTCAAATTTGGACCCCCCCCCCCCCTTTCCTTAAAATAATTTACCCCAACCAAGCTACGCTATTACTGTGTACCTGCATAATGCAGAATGAATGTACATTGGGAAATGACATTATACATAGCATAAGTATAAACATTCATATTTCCCTAAGTTGGACTGTTTAAGTACACACTGAGACACTGACACATTGGGTCACTGACACATATGCACGCACCCCACATTTCAAAAGCAAATGTTTATGTGGCTGTCCATACCAAAGTGATATCTCTGCTTTACATCCATAGTAAAAAAAAAATAAATAAATAAATTTATTGTACTGATTAGTACCAAGACGATTGCTGTGTCACTTGGTTACAAGAAAGTTTTAAAATGGCCACATATATAGCCTTGTTGAGAAAGTCCGAGCAATAAATTTCCTGCGGGAGATTTTATGTGAAATCAATAACTATTTATATATTTTTATTGGAGAATATGGGGGATAACTTTTGTTTGCCTAAAACATGGCCTTGGGTCTAAAAAAGTTAAACCCTTTATACGACTGTATGTAAATTATACACATGTTACAAAGTTTATAACACATTAGATCAGGGGTTCTCAACCTGTGGGTCGCGACCCCTTGAGGGGTCGAGTGACGATTTGTCAGGGGTCGCCTAAGACCATCGAAAATATGGATTGTATTTTTCTATTGCTGTGTATGCTATGAGGGGGGGGGGGGGAGGGGTCCGGCAGAGTGGGGGGATAGTAAAAAGGGGTCGCTGAGCTTAAAAGGTGGAGAACCGCTGCATTAGATGCATCAGAGGAAATGTATTTTAAATAAAGTGTTCAATGAGCTTCTCTATGAGTTTGTTCCCTTTTGTGGAATGTTTAGTCTTTTTAATTGAAAAATAAACAGTGCTAGTAATGACAACAAAATTCCAATAAGCATCAATAATGCAGCCATTGTCTTAAGAAACACTTCACCTTACAAGAGTTATTTATTTCCAACTGCAACAACATTTGGTATTCCAAAACACTGGCTGATGTCAAAGCAAAGCTCCTAAAGTTTTTAAATGTTGCCTTCACCCATAGCTAAAATCAACACAAAATACATCAGCCAATTCCAATTCATGGCTAAATCAATGATAGGCAACTTCATTGCCTTTTCACATGAGGAATCCAAACTACTTTATGTATATAGATATTGCTGTTATTGGTCCTATTTAATAACTGGTTATATTCAGTTGAAAAAATAACTATGGATCACCTTACAGGATGAGATGAAAGCCTGATAATTAGCAGTTTTCTTATTATCCCCTTCACACCAGTGTCCTCCTCTACAAATAGTTGTTCTATCAAATGCAATGGTAAAACCAGCAAAATATAAAAAAAAAATTATTTTTTTAAAAAATAAAACTTATCTAAAAGGGAAGAACTCCATCCTAAAAACTATATCTACCAGTGATTTACAAGCTATTTCCCTATTCAATATCAAACAAAATAATTAATTACCAATAATTAATTGACTAATTGAGATTTTTTTATTCATGTTTTGTTAGGTAGAATAAATAATTGTTTAAAGTATCAACTTGATCAGAGAATGAATGAGGTAAAAATAGCTTTAATTATTTAAGGGGACTAAACCCAACAAATTTAGCCATATATGTGAATATTCTAGTATTAGTTTCCCTCGTTGCTATTAAACAAAATAATGAATCAACAGTCATTTTAATTGTCTAATTGGTTACTTTTTTTTTTTATTGATTCAGGTCAATAATAGTGCGAAGTTTCAGCTTGATCCAAGAATGGATGCGAGAGAAATAATGTGTACACACACTTTTTATCACACAGACAGGCAGAGTGAGTTGATTTAAGCTTTGTTAAAAGAAACACTATTTGGGATCTGTCAGATTATAGCTCCTGTTTTTACTAAGGGACAACTCCCAAACCTTTCCCATATTTGGGTTTAGCTGCAAGGCAGCAGACGTTTGAATTCAGAGTTTTCTTTTGCCTAGTTAGTTAGCCAACAAAGCCTAACAAGTCCCCCTTTTTAGTATTTACAGTTCTGCCAGAGCCTATATATGAACCAGGACTGCTTGTCAGAGGGTATTTTAGACGCACTATGCTTCTAACACCTGCCGCTTCCAATAATAATCACATTAAGGAATCTGTTTAAATATAAATGAAGATATCTTCAGAACCATAGTTAGTTGATTCAAGGAAGACCACAGGCTTGTGGATTTCCAACTCTGGTATTTTTAATGGAAACAAGGATAGATTAATAATCTCCTAAACTAACTAATAATGGTGGGTTAACAAATGTTAAACCAAAAAAAAAAAAAAAACTTCACTAAAACAAGTTGGCAGTCAAGAAGCTGTTTATTTCATTTGAATATGTTCTATACTGGAATACAAGTGGAGAGTAATACAACACCTAGCTTAGTGTAACATTTTAGGGAAAACAAGATAAGCTGGTTAACAGGGGAGGTTAATGTGACATGCAATACAATAAAAGTGTTTAAATGACTAAGTAAATTACCACATCAACAAATAATTTCAAATATTACACAAAAAGGTTTTAATTAAATAACAAAGACCTTGAAACATTGAAATACAGTTGTTTGTTTTGTAACCCATTTAAAAAATCTGACCTTTTTGACTTACGACAATGGTTGTAAACAGACACTAAGCCAAAAAAAAAAAATTTCTTTGCAAACATGATCTACTTCTGTACAAGGCCTGAGAGTTGACAAAACATGACTTAATAGTCTTGTAATGATCACATGTCAAATATTCAACAAATAGACTGTGTGTCTACAAGTTTGTAGTTTAATTTTCATGTGAAAACAAAACAAAAACAAAAAAAAAGCCAGGTCTATTTTCCAAATTAAAAAAAAAAAATCATTAGCCAAAACAAAAGTATTGGGACAATAAATGGTCCACAAAAAGACCTACAACAGACACAAGTGTGATGTTTTCTTCAAGTCATTCTAATGACAATAGAATCAGCAAAGCCAATCTAAAGTACCAACTTAAGGCTCATCATTCAAATGGTTTACATTTTTTTCACTAGTCAAATAGCTTTAATAAATGTAATTATTATTATTTTTTTTAATTTATAAGATATCTATCAAAAGATCTCTAAAAAAAAAATGGAATGTCTTTTACCAATTTACTATCATGTTTGTTTGAATGATGACCTGGAGACCTATAGACTTCATTTCACTACTTGAATTTTACTTT